CTCTATGACATCTGTGACGAATAACAGACGGCTTTGTTCGCCGGCTACGGTTGCCGTTAACGCGTGCCGGCTTGGAAGTTTCCCGAATTGCTTTTCGAATCAGTCGGTTTCGTGTTGGGAAAATTGCAGGGTTTTCTGCAATTTCTGGAAAACTTTCCATACTGGTTATGATACCAGCACCAGTCGGGGTTATCTGTCTCTCGTGGTCTAGAGACAGATCGCTTACGAGAAATGCTTCTACGTGGTGTGCGCGATCTCTTACGGTCGGTACGAAGACTAAGATAACGCGTGAGTGTGTGACATAAGTCGTTTATATCATTGAGTCGTTTGAGGTTTTTCTTTGACTGAAAATACCTCGGTAGTAGATTTCGTAATTTCTAAAATGCGGTCGGCAGATGCAGCTAGCTCGTCTAAGGCGTTGTTCTGGAACGAGACCAGAACTGCTTGTACCTGTTGGGGAAGTTTTGACAAGAAGAGTTGTTTGAATAGACCTTCGTCGAAAGTTCTTGGGCCTATTACCTCTCTCATCCGTTGCAACATGTCCGTCGCAGAACCGTGTTGCAGGTCGATATTGTTGAAGAGTTGATCTAACCTTTGTCGATCGGTTAGGTCTCCTCGTTTAAGAATCGAGCATTTTAAGATTTCGTAAGGATCGGAAACATCACTAGTAAACATACTAGGTGTTACGTACCTGTTGAATTCGCGCGGTAGTGCCTTGACTACTGCGAGGAATTGTGCGCGTGTGTCGATCACGCCGTGCTCGTGGAAGTCGGCTTCTGCGTAGCAGAACCAGGCTTCGATGTTGTCGGGTCAGAAAGGCATCAGTTGAAACGAAGGCGGGGGCAAAGTCTTAAGCTTGAGTACTTTAGGTGTCTGTTCAGTCATGATGAAATATGAAGTACGATAATGAACGAGGGGAAAATATATATATATCCAAGAAAAAAAAACACGAAAAAAAATCACAATGTTTAAAAAAAATAAAAAAATAAGGCAATGATATATAAAAATCCCAAAATGGAACAGACTCACAGTTGCAATTAGGTGTACCAGATCACGTCGGTCTTACCAATGATGATGTAACAGGTATTCAGTGTTTGACAACGCTTCTACCAGTAACACCTAATATATTTCGTTCCCGCCCAGAGAAATCAAAAGACAGAGTCGAGGAGATCGGAAGAGCATATTTTGCGATGACCAATATATCGGAATTCTCTGATCTAATCTGGCTAGCGATTGCGGTTGATGTTGAGCACGGCGTTACCACACGTGATCTGGTGCGGATGCCTGACCGAGCGCCTTCAGCTAGGTGAGTCCACTAAAACATATGGTCAGCATCCAATGTCGAAAACTTAGTGCTATTTATTTTGGGGATTTATTTACCGCTACAAACAAAATACCCCTGGCATACAGGTTTTCACACCGAGTCATCAATACTTGGAACCTGCTGCCTGAAGCAGTGGTATCCGCACCTTCAATTGACTCTTTCAAGAGAAGACTGGACACTCACAGAAGCACACTAGAAAAGGAATAACATAGGCCGTAGGCCTTCTGTCCTTACTACACAAATCTGAATCTGAATCTGAAATCTGAAAATTTGTCTTTCTGTAGAGTGACATTACATTTATGTGTCAGGAAATGATCAATTAATGGAGTGTTGGGAAAGAGAGTCATGAAATAAAGACACTCTAAAGTATAAGGTTAATCCAACTTTTCCTAGAAATTAAGCAATAGAAGGTTAGTGAAGCGCCTTATTTGATGGACAACGTTAAGTAAACACTAGGAAATTCAATATGTATGATGCTTCATGAATTTGGTAACTTATTTTTTTTACAATAGGAGTAAAAGGTAACAAGATAGATTGATGAGTTCAAGTATACGAAATTGAAAAACATGTACATGATACAGTAACAATTTTGATGTTAAGTCATGCATTTGTTTACAAACGCAAGGTTTTCTGTATGCTTACCCGAAATTAATAAACTTTTCCTCAGATTCTGGAAGTTGGGCATCTACTGGTCATTTTATATCCTCTTTCCATATTTTACGCAGTACGAGGAGTTAATTGATGTCATTCTAGTTCTTGATGCTTACAAGTCTATACAGTCGGATACATTGAAGTTTCTTAATAGTTCTCTTGTTTACGGTTAACGTTTTGTGCATAAATCGTTGAAAACAAACTTTCTTATAACTTAGAACGTGAATGATTTATTTTTTTGTGGGATAATGAACGTGTGTGTAAATGATAACATTGATAGTTCATAACTTCCATCTATTTATAATCTCGAAAGATTTTTGACCCATAGACGAAACAATTCAAAAATGGCCTCACTGAATCCATTTTATGGACTTTTAGTCTGTTTTAGGTTTCCCTAAATGCCCTAGTACAGCCGAGAGGGGAGATTCAGCTCTCCATCTCGAAATGCTCTCATATGGCCATGTTAATACAACCACTGTCGGGGAAACCCTACTCACTGCATTTTCGTGGCGGGGGAGTGTGTTGTTTATTAAATTAGGAGGGCCGAAGGCAAATGTCTGGCACTTTAACGGGGCTGGTGGGTACAGAGGATCTACCTAGTGGAGTTGGAAAACCCTAATTCCTAACCAATAGTGCACATGTGCTCCAGTATCCTGAGGAACAAATGGAGTACGAACCAGTCGTTGGTTACTGGCTATCATGGGACTGCATCTTCTTACGTTGGACCACAGTCTTATGGACTAGACCTCTAGGTCAAAGGCTTCGGGTGTAACCCCCTAAAGAAACCACCTGCTTCAGTCTGGACACTCGGGCAGTATCCTAGCCCTCACACAAATTGGGATGATTTGTGTGGTGCGTATCTATTTGGTGCCTCCTTGGATTTATGTTTGTGTTTTAGTAACAATAATGATAATACTTTCATTAGGTCCTTGATTTTGTTTTCTGTTTTACTTCTTATATCAGCACTTGATGTTGCTTTCCACTCAATTACTTTATGTAAGCTCCAATTTGTATTTTAACCAGGTAATAAAATGTAATTTTACGACCACAACTGTGGACGTTTTTTGAGATTTATCAACACTGAATGACTACAAATCGGTAATCTAACCCTGCCTCGGTATGGGCGTCCCGGCAGTATTTCAGCCCTCACACAAATCTAATGAAGTGTGGCTCATATATATTTGGTGCCTTGTACCAACGTTTTTGTTCAAATAGGTAAACAAATAAATTTCAGTAAACATGATGTGTGCCTTAACCATCAAGTTATCACCAGTAACTAACGCGACATCCTATCTAATCTGACATGCAAACCATAGGTTTTGTATTCAATTTTCACATATGAGTAAATTTCTAGTATCTTAAAAGTAACCTTTCAGTTTTCACGTGTTTCGACTACAGATTGATTTCGAGTTTAATGAAGCAAAGTACGATTCGAGTAATCCTTTGGTTTTACCGGGAAAAAATGAATCTCGATACAAAGGAAAACGTCAATTAGACCGTAATAAAATCGTGCAAAACCAAATCTTATCAAAGAAAAGACGAAAAGAACTGTTACGAAAAGTATCTCAAAAAGAAAAGAAACTATCGGTAACAGAAATTTCCATATATTTCGTGTTTAGCGTTCAGAGCTGTGGAGGGAATTAGAAGAGTATAAAAAACCTGAAACTACCCAACACATTACTGTCTCTGTATTTGTGTAGTGCATAATTTTTTAAGTGACCAGTTATCCAAAAATTTATGTATATTAAATCCTTCAGTTGCAATATCAGGGGAAAGTCTTGGAAACAACAGTGTAATGACCTATCAGATACTTCCAAATCTACAGACGAATATAGCAGTGATGAGTCTGTATCAACAAACGAGGTTTCTTTTACGCGAGTGGCCTCAGAACAGGATCTTATTGTAATAAGGTTTGTGCAATAATAAAACCAAATTTTACCATATGAAAAGTATTTTTTTTAAGGAAAAATATTATAACATCACTTGTACTATTTAAATATTTGGTGGATATATACGAAGGAACTGATCAAAAATAAGTAAACTGGATTGTTTATTTCACACTGTTCTATTCAATTAAAAAAAGGTAGATTGTAAGTTTTAGTAAATACTAGGGTGATAAGTCTTGTTAATTTGAACGCTATATTCGTTTCCTAAGCTATTTATTAGTACTAAATGGAGCGAAACGCTTGGTCTATATTACAATGCGAGTTAACATAATACTGATAACTTACGATTATGGAAGTGTATTATTCCTGGTGAACTTTCCATAATTTACGTATATTTGGGCTGAAACCACAATTTAAAAGTTCCATAACTGATTCCCAATTATTTGGCACAATCAGCTAAAAGACATATTATGTTACTGACCAATAGTAGCACTCAACGTTAACATTCTAGAAAGCTCCATCATACTCTGATTGGCTAGGAGTTTTCACATTCTCATACTGAACTCAGATTGAATCCATTTTTATCCGAGTCAATAAACTGATTGGTTTATCCTGAGCGACCAATATTCAAGTTGTAAATAGGGTAATTGTCATAGATGGCAAATTGGTTGATGAGTTCTTAAATTTTTATCGACTTGAGTATGTTAGGTTGTAGAATCTAAGACGCGTATTTGATTCCAATTAGGACTGATTAACTGGATGTTCCTGAATTTCAGTGTTGTTATTTGAATTTAAGCTCAAATTTAGTATGTCTTGCTTCAAACGCTAAGATCAGTTCATAAAGTTTCTGAGCCATTAACTTACACAACAGTTTTAATGTTTACATCATTATTGGTATCATAGTAAAACTAATCTGTTTCACAAATCTTCTTTAATCAACTTATACTGTATGACAAAAAATTATGACACAGATGACAAATAAGCGGTCCAGATCCATTTATTCTTGATGCTCTTTTTCTTGAACTTCAGTATCCCTTCATGCAGATCTTTTCAAACCATATTCCAAATGTTCATTCCTTCTTTTCATCATTGCTACCACATTATTCCTATCTCGTGCCGAAGTAATAAAGTAGCTTGGGTCAGTGGACATCTGAACTGTGTTCCATTTTGACGAGAAACACATAACTTACAGATGGAATTATAGGAGCAAGTTTACATATAGTTGTTTGACCTTTTGAATCGGATTCTTCTCTAATAACAAATAATATCAAGAAAATAGATAAAGTAAAGATAACTACACTTGATATTATTATGATATGGACAAAGATTAAACAATGAATTGAAAGAAAATTTGATTTTTGCTTACTCTATCATCATCAGACATACACATTCAGAGGTGGTAATATACAAAAAAAGATTGCAATAAGGATATAGTACAGGAAAAAAGAATTAGTTCGTAGAAACATGATTATAGTGATCCAGATGAATTTATTGTTAAGCTTTAAGATTAATCCTGAATTTAAATATCACTTTGTCGATGTCATTAATTCCATTTCATTTTTATAACCATTGATGATGGTATCCAACTCTTTAATTTGTCTTATCACGTCAATTTTTATCCAGTATGCAATTTCAGTCCACAGTGACTATTATTATATTTGATAGGATATATGTAGTTGGTTATTATGAGAACAATGGTGCATAGTGAAGTGAAATAGCTACGTGACAGAGTCATTTAAATTAGATGATAAAACGGTGTTTTGGAATAATTCGATTACCAGTACCATTTCATACGGTAGAGATAGTCAGCGAGCAGCGTTAAAACAAGGTGAAACGGCTTTTAGAAAAGATATGGATAGAGAAGTCGGAACTTGTGTCCAGTTTTGAAGGTTCAACTTACTAAATAAAAACATCAATCGACAGAGTTCTATAGTTAGTAAGCTGTCGACTGATGGTGTACATATACGCATACATATCATTAATAAACATTTGAACTTACACAAATTTCACACTGTCAACATTTCCGATTTCTGGATTAATCAACAACAATCTCCTTCTTGTTTCAGCTAAATATTTTAAAACTAGATTTCGTTTCTCAATCAATTGATCTGGATCGTAATTCAAACGCCATAATGGAAGAATGGAGTCACGAAGTCTGTGAAGTGAAAAATAGTAAAGAACTATTCATTTATTCCATTATTTAAAGAATTTTAAAAAAGTTGAACGAAAATTCGTCAGAAACAGTCAAAGTTAATCTTCTACTTCAAAATTTATTCAGAATTAAAGTTGAATTAATGGACTGAGAGAATTGTCTAGTATGTTATGACAACTCGTTTATCTGAATATTATGTTATATATTCATTTTATAATGTTAGTAGTAACCTTAAGCAAAGAGATTAATAAATTAGATTCTGAAATATCACAAACAAATAAAAATATCTGGAAGATTAGCTAATCAATAAATGAAGAATTTCAGACACGGTCGATACTTTGATCTATGTTTTCTGAGCCGCGTGGCTTCATTGAGAAGCTTTGAAAGTCATTGTGAACAGCATGATTAGCATTTACTGTAGCATGAATTAACCGATCTATCTAAAATATTTAATTATTAAAACACTGATTATAATAAATGAGATACTGTAGCTAGTTAATAGTTTATTCATACCATAGAATATGGAAAAGACGACTCAAATGATCCAAATAAGTTCATAAAATGTATGTGCAAGCTGTATTTAGTTAAAGGCATTAAAAATAAAACTTGATATAATAAGAAATTTTTATTTTAAGAGGTTTGGGAAAACATTCAATACATCAAAGAACATAACACAAAGTAACAAGAAGAAAATATGTTTGAACATTCAGAAATAAAGGATATCGGAAAAAATATTTGTTTACAATAAATTTGTAAGCTGCCAATTACAACTAACAAACTATTAAGGTACAAAGATACACATTCTGATTGGATCAATAAGTGTTACAAATTGTGACTAATGGATTTCACGTCGACTGAGTCTTAAATACGAATAATAAATACTAATTTATAACTGTAAAGACCCAAAGATATATTGAAAACAATTATTCACTCTGATATTTTATTATTTTAAAACATTCCGTAAGGATTCGCAAACTGTTGAGGCACAGTGGAATATAAATGAAATGATGATGTACCGAGATTTGATACTGTTAATATAAAAAATGGTAGATACTTACTTACACCTGTTACCCCTCGTGGAGGAGCATAGACCGCTCACCAGCATTCTTTATTCAACTCTGTCCTGTACAATCCTCTCCAGTTGTTACCAGTTGATATTCATCCTTTTCATGCCTGCTTCCAATTCTCGACGCAGTGTGTTCATTGGCCTTCCTCTTTTCCGTTCCCCTTCAGGATTCCAAGTTAGCACTTGCCTCGTGATGCAGTTTGATGATTTCCTCAATGTATATCTTATCCATTTATAACATCTTTTCCTAAGTTCCTCTTCAGATGGAAGCTGGTTTGTTCTCTCCCACAGTAGGAGGTTGCTCATGGTATCCGACCAACGGACATTAAGTACCTTGCGTAGACAACTGTTTAGAAATACTTGTACCTTCTTGATGATGGTTGTAGTAGTTCTCCAAGTTTCATCTCTGTACAGTAGGACTGTCTTGACGTTCGTATTGAAGATTCTGACTTTGATATTGATTGATAGTTGTTTCGAGTTCCATATGTTCTTTAACTGTAGGGAGATGACATAGTCCTGTTTGGTGAAGACGCTGACAAAATGCAGTCTTTTGATAACACTGAGCAAGAATGCCAGGATGTTTGGAATGTGCTTCTCTCCCTCTAAATGCAAGTTGTTGCTTCAGGACTGAGCCCATGCAGAACTTTAAAAAATGGTAGGTAGTACGCTAATTTTTTTAGAAATATTCCGAATTCTAGCAAACTATTTTGTTTATCATGGTATGTGTGTGTTCAATTCATTTTATGATTAACAATCATAGGAAGAATTTTTGTTAGAAAAGAAACTAATCAGTAAACTTTTTAACTGCTAAAAGACATACGTTTCGTGAGCTTTCTCCAAGTCAACTGGTTCACTTAACCAATCTATATGTTGTTCTTTTGATAAGAGTTCAGATTTTATTTCACTTTCCGCTCGCCTTTTCATTAATGGATCAGCATGAGGACGAGCAATCTTAACATATCCAGGAAGATAAAAAATAAGACATGTTTTTGACCACAGATGCCTCAGAAATATTGCTCGCATCTGCTGGGATCACCGGGTAAGTAATAGTGAGGTTAGACGCAGGGTATTAGGTAATTATGGTAAATCAGTTGATACTAGCCTGAAGGTTATCACAATTAGACAAGATGAACAGACTTTTAATTATGATTACTGACAAGGTATTCTATACAAGTCTCAAAATTTATTACTGCTAAAATGAATACGAGATTACTTGATTTTTGTTATTAATGTTAAAGTTTTACTAGTAACGGTAACCTCAAGTATTCTATCTTTTTACTGTGATTCAACTTTTTGGATCATCTCTGGGCTTTTCTGACTGGCTGCCACAACTTTTAGTTTGCTAATTTTCTGTATATTTTAAGGTCATACTTCCGTGACCATTTGGATTATTTCAGATTGCTCTGCTTGAATAGCAAGTTATTCCTACACTTAATCTTCTTCCTGTGTTAGCAGATAATTGTTGAAGTTTTGTGTGCCAAATGTAGTCGTCGAGTTCATAGTAAAATCGTTTGTACTAAAATATCTCAACAGTCCCCGAATTCGCAAGTATTGTAGGTCAACCGGACAGCATGCAATAGTTGTAGTAATACCTTATTTATCATTACAATTTCCACATATTGGCGTGAAACGAAAAAGACAATATAGTTTGAGAAACATGGCACTTATGAACTCTAATCGTAGATTAGGATTATCTCTATGGCTCCAATCCAAGACGCTTTGATCTCTCCACATGGCTTAGACCGGTAGTCAGTAAACTTCATGAACCGATAACAAATATTCACTTGTGTATCCGCAGTCCTCATCTAACCTGATCGAATACTACCCAAATTGTGCATCAGAGTAGGTGATGCCTGGATAACATATTCCAGACGACATCAATCGATGGACATCTAGAGCCTTGAAAGCCAATTTACCATTTCTACCTAGAAACCCATATCCAACCTTGAGAATTACTAGTTTGTAACCTCCAAAAATTAAGTGCTTTATTGCAAAGATAAAAGGTCAGTTACACATAATTATAGGTCTACTTATAAAAACGACTCCGAATAACAAATGTTTTGATGCAGATAATACCAACAAAGTTTTTGATTGCTATGTTGTATGATGATGGCTGAAATTTATCAAAAAGAATATCTTTATCTGTGATTAATTTATGACCCTACTTTACAGTAAGACTTAAATGAATATAATTCATGGCTGATAATTATATGAGTCATTTCAAGGAACCTTCAGGAAAAACTGTAGTTTTCTTTTAAGAGAAAGAAAGATACCTCAGTGAGATATAAATTTATTTGAAAAAGCACTAGTGTCACAACTACTAAAATGATCGAGACATGGTCACTCAAAGCAATCACCCTGAACACCTATCACACACTCGAGTTCGGCTCCTGAATCCGGGGCGTTCAGTTTTTACAGCATACATAAGCAGCTTCAAATACCTTGATTTTGTAGATCAGATGGATCTATGTTTATATTATTAAAATTTGCATTACTCAAAGTATAGTTGGTGTCCTTCCCAACGACGTTCAAAGCACAACAATCCACAGGGTTGAAATCAGTGGGATTGGAGAATCAAAGGTCAGGAATGGAGAAGACCTGAAAATTTACAGTCGAGCATCCGGAGGTGTGACTCATTTTGGAATCTTATTGGAAGACATATGATCTTCTAGAAGTCAATCTGTTTAACTAAGGCTCGGCGTCGATCCTCAGAATCTCCTTATAGTCATCCACATTCAGCCTGAGACCCTTACAAGAAACATTCGAGAACCAAAAAAGTTCGAAGAACCTTTTTTGATCTGCAGGTAATCCATCTGTTATTATGTGTGTTGTACAGCTGGTCATGACAAAAATTCTGCCCAGAGAGGAATAAACTGGTGCTGATTTGGCGGAATGTTCTACTTTGATGAAGGTTTTCTTTGACTTCGTCAAAGCTTTTTGGTGACCTTCCTGTCAGGAGTTGCTCTTTATTTCTATTGTATAAGTGGTAGCAGAGCTCTTCATTTGAAAACTGCCACATGGTGGGAGCTGCAACATCTATGTCCCATTTTAAAGCTCATAATCACTTCCCAGGATCGTTCACCGACTCCTCTTGTAGTTGGTGAGTCAATTCTTATATATAGGAGGAATCAGAACGTTTTTAAGTCCTTCTGCCGAAATTGTGTTCTTGTAGCATTCACCGCAGCTCTTTATATCATACTTCATTGTTTGCATTTTGTTCAAACAACATTAAGCAATTGATATGATAAAAAAATCTTCATCTCTAACGTGAATTATCACGATGCAGGTCATCCTTAACCATTATTACGGTAGGCTCAAATTGTCCAGTTAAAGTGACTTGAGTTTAATCAAGGTGAGTAGGCAAGTATCTGATTTATCACGCATAAGTAAATGCTTATGTCGCAATATATATAATTCTGTCCTTATATCTTTACGTCTATAAACTCTTGTTCTGATATATATCTACTCCTCTACTGAACGGTCGAAACACTGAGTGTGGTTAGGTCGACGCCACCCTTATACCAGCTCACTTTGAGATTGCTTGTTTCGTGATGTGATTCTTCTTCAAAACACCGGAGTACCATATCTGAACACAGAAATGGTAAAGTTGAAAATCTGATTTTGTCTAAATCATCTTAGGCAATTACAACATATGTACAGTACCACTTCCTTTTTGCCTTCAGTATACACACGAAAGTTCAGTCAAGTTGAGTAATCCAAATAACGTTTACATTGGCGGAGTATGTAGGCAAAGAATACTTCTAGATGGCGGCTAGCAATCGAATTTAGGAAGTGTATTTCGTCTTACCCCGTACTCGTCAGCTAAACACACCTACATCCTAGCGTTGATGTTTGTAATGTGGGACTGCAACTTATTACCTATCGTCTGAAATGCCAATACATTATCCAAAAAAAGAATGAGCAACGATAGTCATCAATTCGTTTAACAGCCATGATATCTATTAGTATCACGAGTGATTCACATCTTCGATGATAACTTTTATAATAACTGGGAAAATTTGAGAATAATGGTAATACGCCAGATTGGGAACCAAGAACTAACCTTAGCTTCTATTTTCGAACCTTTCCAAATGTGTCCATCCAAAACAGAGATAGCAAAATCACGATCAGCGGCAGATCTGAAAATCGATTCTATGAAATATTTTACACAAATTACTCAAATGAAAGAAATGCTAAACCGCATTTTGGAAACTTTATCTTGCAAAATTTTACATTTAATGACTGCAACATCTTCTTCATTACCTTCAAATGAAAAATAAGAAAAAAGATTGAGATTGTACTCCTTACTATTATAAAATTAAGTACGCAAAGTAGACTAGTCAAAATCTAGTACTTAACATCAATAATGAGAAGATTCAAAAAGCTTTAGAATGTTAAATTCATCCGCGTTTAACAAGTTAGTGGCTATATGAACTCAAGAGCCCAGTTGATAACGGTTCGCGTATTCGAAGTGAAAAGCACTGGGTTTCAGTCCCGATATGAATGTTAACATTGGTATTAAGGTACATCCGCCTAGTGAACGCCTAACGGAACGAAACGCAGGACCTAGTGTCCATTGCTAGTCACTATCAAACCTAACTGAAAAACATGTGACTTAATGACAGTACCACGGCAGTTCTCTCAGGACGCATACGTCCCAAAAAATACAAAGAAATTCAGTCCATAACATTAACAACGGGAAAATTCAAAAAGCTTTACTCATAAAAATGCAGGAGTTAGTTTAATGTCGGGAAATTTTACAAGATGAGGTAGGTCAAAATTGTTTCAATTATTTACACTATATCAGACAGATAGAAGTATACGGGATAAGGTATAAATGTGGATCTATTCAACTTGACACACTTAATATTAACACAATCACTAAAGAAATTAAGAAGAGGAAAAGAAAGTTGGAATAATAGTTATACTTATAGTATTAGAAAAAGGCTAGCGAAATTGAGAAGAGGTGAGAAAAAATCTGGCACTAAAGAACCAGAGGAGAATGCAGAAAGAATACATCTGTGTCACTGTGATTGATATTAATACATATCACTTGAAGTCTCAAAACCAGTGTTTACCGCTATTTTGAGCGTTCAAAGAAAGTCTACATGTCGATATGACGTCACCGAACGATCTCATGTTGTGGCCTGACCGTCATTATTTTTTAGTCACATTATTCCTACGTTAACCATCTAGAGGGACTGGTATTCTGCAATCAACATTAGCACTGTTCACTTGATGATTTCAATACATTTATGAAGTTGAAAAGTCGCAAGGTAGAAGACCAAACTCAAAAGAGTTAGGTGAAGGTATAACCACTACTAAGAACATGTTTAATGCAAAGATAAAAGAGAACATGGGACGAAAATATTCCTGATAAATACAAGATGATCTAGAATATTTAGATTCAGAATTGTCGAGTCCAGAAGGCATACGGCCTGTGTCAGTACTTCTCTAGTAAGCTTCTGAGAGTGTCTAGTCGTCTCTTGAATCGAAGGGGCAGACACCACAGCATTGGGCAACAAGTTCCAAAAATTGATGGCTCGGTCTAAAAACCTGTATCCCACGAATATTTTGCGCATTCTTAGCCTGTGTACTGACCTGCTATTTCCTCTAAGTTTTCCTGATATGGTAGGAAGAAAAAGAGGATACATCAGGTCCAAAATCATTTCTTAGTATTCAGTACATCAAAATCAGATCAACTCTTGATCTACCGTAGGACAGAGTAAAGAGGTCAAGCTTTTCAAGCCGCTCTGTGTATGGCTAACCCCAAAGTTCTGGGATTGCGTGGGTACCTCCTCTCTGTACTTTTTCCACGATAGCTGAGTCACCTTTAAAAAACAGGGGATTGAAGCCTGAAAGCAGTTTATAAGTTTGGATCTTAATACGATTGTGAATACTGCAGTGAACATATTAGTATACAACTTGGTAAATATCCATCTTTAGGCTTATAGGGTTGTAAACTCCTTAACTGCGACCACGATGAAGTGGGCCTTGGTCTTAAGATCATGGCTTATTGTTACCCTAAGATTATTGTGAGACCGGACTACAGGCACTGACTCTCCCCTTATACTGTACCTATTTACCTATATATCCCCAATGTACATGTAGACACACTTGGCCTCGTTGATGGGCATCAGTCATTTTTTAAACCAGATAATCAGGACATCTAAGTCCTCCTGAAGTGCACATCCATCTACATTTCCCATTATTTCTCGCCAAAATGTTATATAATCAGCGTAAAGTAGCATCGGAGACTCAACTACACTTGGTTCATTTACATACAGTATAAAAAGTAAAGGATCTAGGACAGAGATTTGAGGTACTCCACTAAGTACTGGTTTTCAGGGGAAGCATTTTGAGTTTACTCTCATTTTCTACCACTCACTATGATATCCTTGACTCAATTTAGAAGACGTCTGGCGATTCCTGGATTTTTCAGTCTTAAAAGGAGTCTGTTATTCAGCACCTTATCGAATACTTTCCAGAAGTCTACGGCGACAACATCCGCCGATTCGCCATTATTTGGAAACTGACCATTTCTCTCTTGCTACAAGGAGGTTTATTGCGCAAGATAATCCTTTCCTGAAACCATGTTGTTCGCTGCTAAACAAGTTGTTGGTTTCTGTTATAATCCTCTCTTACGTTATAACCCAGTTATTCCTATTGCTTAGTATTCTCGGACACCAATTTACTCGACAAGTCCCCAAATTAGAACACGGTTGAACAGGAAATAGATTATATTCTAAATAGCAAGGTTAGATGAAAGTAAGAAGCACAACAGGAAAAACGTTAGTATATTTATAGCTTTTACATGAGAAGATTTCTAGAGTATTCTCCAGGTATCGGCTAGCGCTGATTGCATAAGAATTAGCCAATCAGCGTGCACGAACGCGAGCGTGCATTGAGCATGATTTAATCCAGTCTATGTCCCGCTAACAGTTTCAATGAATGTCATTATGGCCTTTTTGATTATTCTACGACACTAAATGAGGCTGACAGATCTGTAGTTTGATGAAGTTTGTCTTGATCCTACCTTATGAATCGGAGCGACGATTGAATCCTTCCAGTCAATAAGTAACTCACCTTGGTCAACTGACATAGTGTATTTGGGTTTAGTCCTTCGCTTAGAGGAGGCTCTTGAGTGAAGACTATCCAGAAATAGTCCGCCATGGCCTCTGCTTTGTGCTAAAGTTCCTCTTTCATTTGATGCACTCCCGTAAATAGGTTGAGAATCCAATGGTACGTTCCCGTTCTGTAATTTATGCACGAGAAAAGTCTCTTCGGCTGCTTGATTACAAACTGTGTCAACCGCTATTCGTATTTCCCCGGAGCTGCCCAGATTGGGCTTATATACTTACTTCAAACGGAACTTTTGCGTTCCATCGTATTCGTTGTGTCGAAGCTGATGGTGATGTTCCAACATTTTCTCGTCTTAGTAAATATTAAGTATCTCGGTTCATCTAGAGATGGCCGTGCTTTTTCTTCTTTGGGACTGTCCAGGGTATAAATGGTTGAGTTATTTGACTGTATAACTGCTGTGAGTCCAGGCCTCCCCTACTGATTCGCCGGAGTCTATTTCCCCGTTTTCAGTCGAGGCTGCTGAGTTAATCACCTTGATGTCTGCTTTTCATATATTAGGACTGACCGGCACAACTGCTTGACAGACTATATTAACCGTGAACTTGAATAACATGACCGCAAGATCACCTCTCTATAGGTGGGAGGATCGTCATTTGAATGACATCATCACCGTGGGTGAAGACTAAATTCAAGACAGACGAGGAGTTTTGATAGTCATATCTGGCGAGATCTCGTGTGTGTTGAGATAAAGCCGGAGAAATTGTGGTTTCTAACAATTTGTAATCAAATGATGGTTGTGATAACCCTACTTTTAAGTTTTCCCAATTCGCAGTGTGCATTAAGGTCACCTACCATAAGGTTTTTACACATGTTTGACCAGAATAAGTTTATTTAGGAGGAAGTCATCCACTACACATTCCGGACTGCGATGTACTACAACTAATTAAATGTCTTACCCTTTGCATTTCAGATGGCACTGCGCCAGCTCACATGTTTCTGAGTCGTGTGACTCTCGATAGCTCATATGGTTAATGTGCTTATTATGCACAGGATAACCCCACCACCTCTACAGTTTTGTCTGTAAACCCAACAAAGGCACCAAACAGTTGAATTTCACTACCATGAGCTTCTGGAGTTAATCACGTTTCTTATGGAAATGGCATTAGGATTTTCTGTGTCCACCGCGGTTCTGAGCTCCGTCATTTTATTGGGCAGGTTGCAAGCATTTGTATAGCATATCTTTAATTACGTGAAATGCTATCCCGTACCACCCAGAGTGGTTTGGGCATGGCTTTACTGCGAACTTTTACAATGTGAAAACCCTTAAGTACAAGGTTCTTTTAAGAGGCGACTTGCTTGAGTACTTTCAGAGTCTATTTTTTGTCCTATTCTGTGAAGCAATATTAATGCTAACCCCTAATACTCTTTTGGGCAGTAGCTGGTTTATTGAGGACTAAATGTGGCTTAGATCGTGATCCAACTAAACCTATGATTCTTTTTCTGAAGACTCTCTTAAATCACAAGAAAAAACAAACCCCTGTGCGAAGTATTTTGAAAAGCATTGAGACTTTTGGTTCCTAATCTCTTTGCATCTTCGCAGTCCTATTTGGCAGGAAACGTGCAGGTCTCGCTTTTTTTCTTCATTCCCTAGATGTTACTGTCAGTCAATCATTGACCTTATATTGATTGCTGATCGAATCACCTACAACGTCCAGGCTTTGCTCATGAATATTCTATTTTGTGTTGATATGGGGATCAGTATGGGGTTCTGTAGTTGAAACTGTCAACTCACATACTTTAGAGTTTGCTGTAATTTGCATTTTCTTTGCTTGCATCTTTCACTTGTAACCATGCCTATATTTATTTGTCACCCGCTAAACTGTGGTGGTCCATCTTGATTATTTCATTCAGACCTCAAGCTGTACTCATGAAGACGTCATTGCATCCTTGAGATCTGGCAGCTGCTCATCTCCTACTGGTTGTTTGTCTGAGGGCATCTTTCTATGTGTTCAGCAGCTCAATCGCCTCAAGAATCCGTAGAAATACGTGGAAGGCCTAGTAACGACAGCGAAGAAAGCTGCAAGAGAAGGAAATATCAAACAACTATATGACACAACGAAGAAACTGGCATGGAAATATAGTAAACCGGAGAAACCAGTCAAGGACAAACAACGAAAGTCAATCACCGACATTCAAGAACAGAGGAGCAGATGGGTAGAAGATTTCGAAAAACCCTTGAATAGGTCATATCCATTTAATCCACCGGATATTGAAGCAGCACCTACAGACCTTCCCATAAATGTCACTCCAACGATCGAAGAAATCAGAATGACCATCAGACAAATCAACAACGGGAAAGCAGTAGAACGTGACAATATACCAGGCGAAGGTCTGAAGTCAGACACAAAAGTCACTGAAAACATACTCCACGTTCTATTATGGAAGATTTAGGAGGGAGAACAAGTTCAGACAGACTGGAAAGAAGGACACTTCATCAAGATACCAAAGAAAAAAGATCTGAGCAAATGTGAGAACTCAGCTGCAGAGGCATCACACTACTATCGGTACCAGGAAACGTCTCCAACAGTGTTGCTGAACCGGATAAAAGATTCTGCAGACGCCCAACTTCGAGAACAACAGACAGGATAATTGAGTGGTTTTAGACCGTAACTTAAACTTCCTTTTTAGGGATTTAACTTTATTATCTTGATTTATAATCCAAAAATATTTAGTGAAATAGGCCATTAAAGAAACTGACAAAGGAATGTAGTTCAAGAAGATTAATCCGAAAGTTTATAACTGACTCCTCTTTGTTGTTCTGGATTACATTTTATTATTCCAGTGAGTCAGGCAACAATTAATTTTTAGCAGTAGTTTAAAAATCCCCATAGAATATTCAAAATTAATTTTTATTTGTAAGGTTTTGGCTAAAATATAAGGCTTAAAATTATAACAATTTGATTAAATTAATTATGAGACAACTCTTACAGAGAAACCTGCATGACGAGAAATGTTCTTCAGTTGTATTTTGAATGCCTCTGAAGTGAAAGTATTCCGTCTAAGATAAGAGTATGGACAGTTTGGATTTGAGCAAGTAGATACACCATCTCTTTTACACTCAAAGCCATTATTTTCGTTAGATATATCAGTTTTTGAATTGTTCATACAGTCACATGTAAGTGTAGATGTATTTACTGGTGAAAGTTTATCAGTTTCGGCATTACTTTCCATTGCTACTCAAATTTCTACAAAATTATATAAACCACATATATAAAACAGATTATCACAAAACCTTTTTTACATTAATGAATATTGTTCAATCAATCATCATATTCGAGTCCACCAAGACAACTAATAATAAAAAACGATGTATTTCAGTAATCATCTGGAAATTGATGGACTATGTCAAAAGGTGCAATAATTTTAACAGATTATTGGTTGAACGTCGGTTGATAGGGTAGGGATTCAAACATATAACACCAAATTAGTTACTTATTTAATTTAGAAATACTATTTTAAATTATAGCACTTCAAAATCAGTGGTTCTCAATAGAGCAACAATGTGACTAAAAATCGGGAAAAGCTGTACGATTTTTGAAACGTATCATATGGTTATTGACAATAGCTGTGTGCTGTAGGGGAAATTATACTCACTAGTCTTATGTGAAAACGGTACTTTTTCTACAAAAATAGCGATAATGAATGCATATTGTCAGGATAAGATGCATGTTTAAGGAAGATTTACTGAAAGAATTAAAGAAATTCGTATCTCGAAATTGATAGTGTATAATGGCTTCATAATTTTGAGACAATTTCATTTCTCTTGTATTTGATATGGAAGGTGAGTTCCTAACGGTTTGGTCCCTATAAATATTTACATTGTTGAAGGTGAACAAAATATCACAAACTTCAAACCATAAGAAAATAAGTAGACTGAATAAACGAAAATCTTCCTGAAAATAAACTAAGTGAAATTCATATTTCAAACAAACATGTATCATAGGGTACTAGCCGAATAGTAATATTTTATTGGGTATACATAAACTAATTTAATGAAATACTCGGGTGAAGCTTTACAAAACAGAAAAGCAATATTCAACTATGTTTAGCAGTAGTGTTCTGATGGGTAATGGTAGTCGATTTTCAACCACTAGGTTACTGACTTACACAAAGTCCCGCTTACTTCGATCTGAGCAACTGGGTAAGATTATTAACTTACAGAAAGCAGTGGCACAGAGCCAAGTACATAGACTTCTACTTCGTTATTGAGTTGCATATATTAACAAAATCAAATAAGTTAGATTCATTAGTTTATAGTTTGTGTTACATTTCAAGCGTGTGGTGTAATAAATTCATATGAGCTCTACTGACCGCTAATAATCATTGTCTAAATGTTTATTGTAACTATTAATTTAGCGCTTATTTGGTTTTTCTAGTCCTAATTTCGGTACTGAAACCTACTGTAATGCCATTAAATTCAGTTAAGGGGACATGGTTGGGAAGAAACAGATCTACTGTATACTAAACCTTTCACAATACTATATTCAACAACAAGACAAAAAGTAAGTCTATACATAGTATTGCGGGTAAATGGACAGTCTAATTAACCCCAATGGACTACGAAAAAAGAATCCCAATAGGTTTATCATATCAGATAATAAAACAAACACTTAAGGTTTGCATACAGGCACAAAAGGGGAAAAAATTTCTGGATAAAAATTTGTTTATTCGTAAAAAAATACATTCCATTAAGAACACAAAAATTGACGTTGTATTTCTCCTAGCAAAACTGAAGCAGCTGATAAAACATTCAAGCTGTTTATTCTATCTGCAGATGGGATAACAAGTCGAGAACCACCGGTAAGATGAACTAAATGAAAAGCTTCCGGAGAAACACCATGAATTTCAGATCCAATAACAACAGCTAAACGACAATCATGTTCCGCAGAGTTATATTCGGAAGGAATATAGTTTACTGCAAAATGTGGGATAGTTTGTACAGGTAAGCGATATGCGGAATCTGTTGACTCAGGAGTAAGAAAATCAATAGCTTCACACTCGACTGATATTTTGCACTCATTAGTATATTGTGACTGATGGTTCTAGAAATAAAAAGAACCATGATTACAGAAAAAATATATCTGAATAATAGGAATTATAGAATTAAATATTAAACACTGTTAACTACTAAAGGAAAGGCAGAATTTTTAGATAAAAATTAAAACAATATTACACAAAAATCATTACACTTCAGATGAAGACCACTATGTTGAAAATACTCTAAAGGATTATGAGTGCTTAAATTAACTTATGAACTCTTTCCTACCTACAATAAAAGAATGTGATAGAAATAATAGAAACTCGAAAACTAAATAACTCAAAAGATATAATACAATAGTGAGTTATTACAAAACGCTAAATTGTGTACAGATTTGAGTGGACGAATGTTTTAAAGGAATATATATGAATGTGACCGGTTCAGTTCTGTTTTTTTGCTAATCCAATAACAGTACCTATATCCACAAGCTATATGTAGAAACTTAATTTTAGAAATTAAGTTAGACCATGAACTATTCAAAATCATAATTAAGTCTCTTAATTCATCGATCACATTGTACGTCTTGATCAAAAGACTAGCCAAATTAGTTTTCCATGAGCTTGATTAACATTTGAACAGATTCATGACAGTATTTCTGGCTCTAATGTTAACAAATTTGGATTTGTCAGTTAGTGATAAGCGACTCAAAACCTAGTATATATCTGCATCAGTTCAAGTTGCCACACCACAACAAAGATGAAATTATCAATGTGAATACTAAAGTTGTAGAGGTAGTACTCTCATTGGCAGTAAAAATTATTAACCACAAAGAATATGATTGGAGGAGAAGGAAGTTACTGTATGAACTGGTGTTCCTAGTATACATAATTCTTAATGTGAAAGGCTTATCTAGTAATAAGCATCAAAGTTGAAGACATCATAGAAACTTCAGCAGTCAATACAAAGGACAAAAAAGATAGATGGATCACAGAGCCTCACTAAAGTTGAAATAGCAATACAGGAATTACTACAAAACTACAACCACATAAAAGAGAATTCGCCTCGCGATATCTTAAACTTAGAAACTGATATTTACCCAGTTTTTACAATTTCAACAATAATATTTACTATGTAACGTGGCTACAAGTGTTAGTGAACGAGTGCTATCGCCATGAGCGGTTGCAATAATTAATAATTCATACAGTAAAAAAGCACAGGTTCATGGGCTCAGATTTCAGTTGTAGTTTAATAGTCTAGTGATACTACACCTGTCTACTCAAATCACAGCTAGGTTGATCAGGGCTCAAACATTATCCTTTAGTTGTTGGACGGTCAGTGTTTCAACTACCACTTCGGGTAGCTGCGTGAAAGATTTTGACTTAACGATTTGCCAACTGGGGTTAATATGATTTTACATATATATATATATATATATATATATATACTGGTGGGTATTTATGTATATACTCACTTGTACGCAGCCCAACTTACAAGATTCGAAAATGTGAACAACAAATAGTTAGTAATGGATAGAGGTTAACTCACAGTTTGGTCTTTTTTCCATGCTGATTCGATTAATTTATCAGTCAAGAGTGGTTCAGGGTCGGCTACAAAGACTTTAATATGAGAGGACGAACCATCACGTATTCCAAAGTATCGACTAATATCGGTCCAGCTTAGTCCTTGATAGACAGGTATGCGGAAATGACCAGACATTCCTGCCCGTATCACTTTTGTATTCCAAATATCAACACTACCTGAAGCGAAAAGACTAAACGTTATCAAACTGTTGAACACGATGAATAATGATATCCTTAATTTTCTAATGCATTAACTTAGAGATAATTCGTTTGACTTCGTATATCAATTACTCTGATGATTGTTATTAAATAAATCCCAACGGTGTATTAATTCAGAGGACAACATGACGCGTTTTCCATAGTTTATTATCGAACAGCACAGATCACTAAGCCACAAGCACCATAAGTGAATTCGAGCAGAAAAGCTAATGCGCGCGAGAGGACTCAGAGACAAATTAAGAGTCGAACGAGTCGAACCGATTGATGAGATTCGAGTGTTATATATGTGGGAAAGCGAACAATTCAACGAACGATTTAGGCAACTAACATCTTGGCTAAAGAGAGGGACATATGCATATGCTACAACATGTGACCAAGCATACATGTCCGTACAGAGTTGGTAAAATAATAAAGCAAAGATATAGACAAATTATTACTGTTAGAATAACTGTTAAATGAGTTAATTAAACGGCTTGAAAAACCTTATTTATTTATTTGAACACATGAATATTGGTACAAGAGAGCGCCAATATATATGCGCCACACAAAACAATGAGAATTCGAAGAGAAATAGAAAAAAAGAGAACAATAACGAAGAGATTGGTGTAAGGCAGTGTGGTAGTAATGAGGGAACGCAAAGGTACAATCAGAAGAAATCTTTCAGGTAAGGGAGACACAACCACTTTTTATGAAGAAAGTAAAAGAAGATTACAGCAGGATCGCCACTGGCTTCTATTCAGAGCCATATCTGATAACGTCTCTAGCCAATGTGTATCACCATCTCTCAGACCCCAACCAGGGAGTCGTGAAGGACCGACAGAAGCCAGTCCTTTGCAGCTTTCTTTCATGCCACGACACCATGTCATGCACTGACCACCTCTCCGCTTCTTCCAACCAGTCCCAGTGTCGGCAAAAAATGCACGACGTGGAATTCTCTGGGACGACATTCGGAGAACATGTCCAAGACACCGAAGTCGGTGTTTCAAGATGGTGACACCAATTGCATTGTCATCTCTGTGCCCGAACACACGATGCCAAACCTCTGCATTACTGACATGGTGTTGCCACTGAATGTCAGCGATCCTTTGGAGACAGCGATGGTCGAACACAGAGAGTCGTCTAACGTCCTCAACTCGGAGAGGCCAGGTTTCACAAGCATAGAGCAAAACTGCTCTCACCGACGCGTTGTAGATCCGACCTTTTACAGCCAGACTAACATCACGAAGTCGCCAAAGGTGGCCAAGATTGGCATAAGCCGCTCTGGCTTTCACTATCCGTGCATTGATCTCATCACTCACACCCCCACCAACACTTATGCAGCTACCCAGATACACGAACTTCTCGACTACTTCTATCTGCTCACCATCCAGGGTGAGTACAGGATTGGAATCCTGCCAGTCTTGTAGAAGTACTTTGCACTTCGAAGGTGCAAAGCACATACCATACCTACGGACACTGATTGCCAACTGATTAAGTGCGGATTGTATGCCTTGGGCATTATCGCACAGTAAGACAATATCGTCCGCATACTCAAGGTCGAGAAGTCTTTCTCCAGGCAACAGATCCACACCACCATTACTTACATTCATCAGAGCTGTTTCCAGAATGTCATCGATGGCAAAGTTGAAGAGCAATGGTGAGATTGGGCAACCCTGCCTAACCCCACTGCTCGAATGGAACAATGGAGAGAGGTGTTTTTATACAGGGCTTTTAGGATGTTAATAAACTTCTCAGGCACACCCTTCTTCAATAGACAATCCCAGAGAACAGCCCTGTCCAACGAATCGAAGGCAGCCCTGATGTCAAGAAACACTACGATTGTTGGCCTTTGATAAGTATGGCGGTGTTCTAACATTTGGCGGAGGGTGAAGATATGATCAATACATCCTCGACCAGAACGAAACTCAGCCTGCTCCTCGCGAGTCAATCTTTCTCGGGTTTTGAACAACCTACGAAGTATGACGGAAGCCAATAGCTTGGACACAATCGGAAGTAGACTTATCCCCCGATAGTTGTTACAGCAACGACGTGAACCCTTTTTAAAGATAGGGACAACTATCGACTCATTCCATGACGTTGGTACACTCCCTAGTTCCCAAACCTTTGTAAACAACATCGTCAATTCCTTAGTCAAAAAGTCACCACAATCTTTAAAAAGAGCCGGAGGTAAGTCACCAGGGCCAGGTGATTTGTAACGCTTCAAGAGTTGGAGTTCCTTGCGGACTTCCTCCTCATTTGGTGGATCAGTCGTCACCTGCCATGGAGGGCAGGACAGTCTGACCGATGTTGCCGGAGCAGCAGGCCAATTGAACTGCCCTTCGAAAAATTCTGCCCATCGTCCAAGACGTCGATGGATGTTAGTGATCGGCATCCCATCATCCTCGCAGATTGTTTCACTCACACCAGACTTCTTGCTGCCAGTGGCTCGGATGAGTTGGAAGAGCTTCCCGTAGTTACCAGATGCAGCTGCTGCTCCAGCTCATTAGCACGCTTCGACCACCAGGCTTCCCCGTCGAGTGCCGCTTTGCCACCGAATGCCCTGGTACGGCCGAGAGTGGGGAGAGTCCGCTCTCCCTCTCGAAATACTCTCACACGGCCGCGCGTATACAGCCTCTGCCAGGGAAGTCCTACTCATTGCCTTCTCGTGGCGGGGGTGTTGTTTACGAAAATGAGAGGATGAAAAGCGAATGTCCGGCGCTTTCACCGGATCACAAATCAATGGTGCACATGGGCTCCAGTATCCTGCGGGAACAAATGGCGTATGAACCTGTTATGACTTTGTGTTGCCAATTGTTGTAACGGGTGAGACTGCAGGTTTTGATACGCAGCGTTTATATCGATCGATTACAGTGACACGTAAACACGAACGGACGGCCTAGAGTCTCGATTGGTCTCGCTTCCCTGTCCAGCCCAGTTACTTGAGTCCAGAACACAAGCCACAGCCTCGGAGGTATGGATCATTATATTTCAAACATACTTTGTTTATATACCAATCAAGCACACCACATCGTACCATAAAATAGAAAACAACATTTTGTACAATACTCAACAACTGAACAGATATCGACCAATAGAAAATGTCCATTTAAAGTCCAAGGACAACATTGGACTTAATATCAAAATTATTGGTCTATTCCTCCGCATCCACAACAGAACCAAACGTTGGTCATCGGCTACCATGGGGTTGCATCTCCTTACGATGCTCCACTGCCTTGTGGGTTAGACCTTTAGGTCAATGGCTCGGGGAGTGGCCCACTAAGATAACCACCTGCTTCGGTTCGGGCACCCGGGCAGTATCACAGCCCACACACAAATGATGAACTCTCTATGTCTATGGAAATTACTTTTCTCGCTTCGAAAAACAAGCAATTGATTCAAATTATTATCATTACAATTATTGTCATTATTATTATTATTATTATTATTATTATTATTATTATTATTATTATTATTATTTTCCACATTATTCACCCTCTTTTATACTTATACAGCGGCTCGTCTTTGGTGGAAATTCGACTGTATCTAGACGTTCTCGAGTCACTGTCCGGTTGAAAATTGTATGTTACCACCGAATACGAGGACTGAAGCAGTTTTTCTGAAACCACGTGCACCATTCAAACTGGCTGCCTTCAACGTTCGCACATTTATGCAGGTCGGACAACAGATAGGGCTGGCTATGTCTTTGGCAAGTCTTAATATTGATGTTTGTTGTCTATCCGAGACCCGTATTCAAGACTCTGGCGAAGTACTACAAATTCGATCTCCATCTGTCGCTTCAAAAAGCTTGTTTTACGTGCGCTTATCCGGGACCCTGTGACATCTTCGTCTAGTCTTGCTGGCGTTGGTGTCGCACTAAGCGCTAGAGCTGAGGCAGCACTAGTCGATTGGATCCCCATTAACAGTCGGTTATGTGCTGTTAGATTAGAAAGTTCCATCAAAGTGAGAAGAAATCGGCGTGATAAACGATGTCTTTTCGTCATCTCCGCCTATGCTCCGACAGATTGCAGCCCGGATGCAATCAAGGATGAGTTTTACCACCAGTTGTCTGTTCTTCTCCAGAAAGTGCGTTCGACAGATATTGTGGTACTAGCCGGAGACTTGAATGCTCAGGTCGGGCGTCTAGGCACAGAAGAGAGTCGTTTAGGTGGCCGATGGGGACTCGTTGGTCGCAGGTCAGATAACGGGGACCGTCTACTGCAACTTTGCACAGACCACAACCTGTTTCTGGATAGCACTAACTTTCGGCACAGTCATCGCCGATGTGCCACCTGGCGTCCTCCCTCTGCATCTCAAGCCTGGACTCAGATTGATCACATCGCGATCAGCTACCGCTGGCGTGGTTGTGTACAAGACTGCCGCTCCTTTTGGAGTACCTATCTGAACTCTGACCATGCTTTGGTCTGCGCCAATCTTACCTTACTTTTCAGTGGACAACGAAGTGACCACCACCAAAAGATTGATGTTAGCAAGCTGGTTGCAACTTCTGTTGCAAGTAAGTATCGAACCGAGCTAGCCTCTAGGCTAGCTACTACTCCACCGAAAAGTATAGATGAGCATTGGTTGCAATTGCATGACGCCATGAAAATGGCGGGAACAGTCAGTTGTGGGTTCGCGAAACGTCCCGCTTATAAGCACTGGGTTTCTGCAGGTTCCTTACAACTCATTGAAGCCCGTCGGTCTACTCCGGGTGACCGTGAGTTTGAACATAAACGAAGGATGTTACGTAAGGAAATTGGGCAAAGCTTGCGTTTATTTATTTATTTGAACACATGAATATTGGTACAAGAGAGCGCCAATATATATGCGCCACACAAAACAATGAGAATTCGAAGAGAAATAGAAAAAAAGAGAACAATAACGAAGAGATTGGTGTAAGGCAGTGTGGTAGTAATGAGGGAACGCAAAGGTACAATCAGAAGAAATCTTTCAGGTAAGGGAGACACAACCACTTTTTATGAAGAAAGTAAAAGAAGATTACAGCAGGATCGCCACTGGCTTCTATTCAGAGCCATATCTGATAACGTCTCTAGCCAATGTGTATCACCATCTCTCAGACCCCAACCAGGGAGTCGTGAAGGACCGACAGAAGCCAGTCCTTTGCAGCTTTCTTTCATGCCACGACACCATGTCATGCACTGACCACCTCTCCGCTTCTTCCAACCAGTCCCAGTGTCGGCAAAAAATGCACGACGTGGAATTCTCTGGGACGACATTCGGAGAACATGTCCAAGACACCGAAGTCGGTGTTTCAAGATGGTGACACCAATTGCATTGTCATCTCTGTGCCCGAACACACGATGCCAAACCTCTGCATTACTGACATGGTGTTGCCACTGAATGTCAGCGATCCTTTGGAGACAGCGATGGTCGAACACAGAGAGTCGTCTAACGTCCTCAACTCGGAGAGGACTGGTTGGAAGAAGCGGAGAGGTGGTCAGTGCATGACATGGTGTCGTGGCATGAAAGAAAGCTGCAAAGGACTGGCTTCTGTCGGTCCTTCACGACTCCCTGGTTGGGGTCTGATAGATGGTGATACACATTGGCTAGAGACGTTATCAGATATGGCTCTGAATAGAAGCCAGTGGCGATCCTGCTGTAATCTTCTTTTACTTTCTTCATAAAAAGTGGTTGTGTCTCCCTTACCTGAAAGATTTCTTCTGATTGTACCTTTGCGTTCCCTCATTACTACCACACTGCCTTACACCAATCTCTTCGTTATTGTTCTCTTTTTTTCTATTTCTCTTCGAATTCTCATTGTTTTGTGTGGCGCATATATATTGGCGCTCTCTTGTACCAATATTCATGTGTTCAAATAAATAAATAAACGCAAGCTTTGCCCAATTTCCTTACGTAACATCCTTCGTTTATGTTCAAACTCACGGTCACCCGGAGTAGACCGACGGGCTTCAATGAGTTGTAAGGAACCTGCAGAAACCCAGTGCTTATAAGCGGGACGTTTCGCGAACCCACAACTGACTGTTCCCGCCATTTTCATGGCGTCATGCAATTGCAACCAATGCTCATCTATACTTTTCGGTGGAGTAGTAGCTAGCCTAGAGGCTAGCTCGGTTCGATACTTACTTGCAACAGAAGTTGCAACCAGCTTGCTAACATCAATCTTTTGGTGGTGGTCACTTCGTTGTCCACTGAAAAGTAAGGTAAGATTGGCGCAGACCAAAGCATGGTCAGAGTTCAGATAGGTACTCCAAAAGGAGCGGCAGTCTTGTACACAACCACGCCAGCGGTAGCTGATCGCGATGTGATCAATCTGAGTCCAGGCTTGAGATGCAGAGGGAGGACGCCAGGTGGCACATCGGCGATGACTGTGCCGAAAGTTAGTGCTATCCAGAAACAGGTTGTGGTCTGTGCAAAGTTGCAGTAGACGGTCCCCGTTATCTGACCTGCGACCAACGAGTCCCCATCGGCCACCTAAACGACTCTCTTCTGTGCCTAGACGCCCGACCTGAGCATTCAAGTCTCCGGCTAGTACCACAATATCTGTCGAACGCACTTTCTGGAGAAGAACAGACAACTGGTGGTAAAACTCATCCTTGATTGCATCCGGGCTGCAATCTGTCGGAGCATAGGCGGAGATGACGAAAAGACATCGTTTATCACGCCGATTTCTTCTCACTTTGATGGAACTTTCTAATCTAACAGCACATAACCGACTGTTAATGGGGATCCAATCGACTAGTGCTGCCTCAGCTCTAGCGCTTAGTGCGACACCAACGCCAGCAAGACTAGACGAAGATGTCACAGGGTCCCGGATAAGCGCACGTAAAACAAGCTTTTTGAAGCGACAGATGGAGATCGAATTTGTAGTACTTCGCCAGAGTCTTGAATACGGGTCTCGGATAGACAACAAACATCAATATTAAGACTTGCCAAAGACATAGCCAGCCCTATCTGTTGTCCGACCTGCATAAATGTGCGAACGTTGAAGGCAGCCAGTTTGAATGGTGCACGTGGTTTCAGAAAAACTGCTTCAGTCCTCGTATTCGGTGGTAACATACAATTTTCAACCGGACAGTGACTCGAGAACGTCTAGATACAGTCGAATTTCCACCAAAGACGAGCCGCTGTATAAGTATAAAAGAGGGTGAATAATGTGGAAAATAATAATAATAATAATAATAATAATAATAATAATAATAATAATAATAATAATAATAATAATAATGACAATAATTGTAATGATAATAATTTGAATCAATTGCTTGTTTTTCGAAGCGAGAAAAGTAATTTCCATAGACATAGAGAGTTCATCATTTGTGTGTGGGCTGTGATACTGTCCGGGTGCCCGAACCGAAGCAGGTGGTTATCTTAGTGGGCCACTCCCCGAGCCATTGACCTAAAGGTCTAACCCACAAGGCAGTGGAGCATCGTAAGGAGATGCAACCCCATGGTAGCCGATGACCAACGATTGGTTTATACGCCATTTGTTCCCGCAGGATACTGGAGCCCATGTGCACCATTGATTTGTGATCCGGTGAAAGCGCCGGACATTCGCTTTTCATCCTCTCATTTTCGTAAACAACACCCCCGCCACGAGAAGGCAATGAGTAGGACTTCCCTGGCAGAGGCTGTATACGCGCGGCCGTGTGAGAGTATTTCGAGAGGGAGAGCGGATTCTCACCACTGTCGGCCGTACCTAGACGTAAACAAACTTAAGTGTAGGAGAGGTACTATAAACTAAGTATAGTTTTTAACATTTGTGTAGAGAAAATACAAAGACCAATAAGTAGCAGTGGAAGGCAAGATAATGATACTGAAATCCTAGTTAACTAACACATCAGTCATCATCAACGTAAGACATGACGCAATTGTGCATTGGTCTATAAGAATTTCGATATCAGAGCCCCTGCGTATATATTGGTCATGTAACTTCATCAAGTAGCGTATCAATGACTATCGGTTAACCACAAATCACTTTTTATTTATATTTAATTATATCGCAAAATATTGCAATTATTCATGGGGTGGAAAAGAAACTGAGACTAATAGGACATCTATAAACCTAGTTTAAAAATTTTCATCCACCAAATAGGCTCACTGATAAATATGAACGCACATCGACATTAGTTATCAAGTACTAAGATACATTTTAATCCATCGAATAGTCAGTCAGTCAGTAACAACGTAGAACTTCGTACGTACGTACATCAGTTCGAGTTACCATATCACATTAGTACAGAGATGCAGTTGTCAATTCAAATCCCGCAGTGGTAGAGGTAGTAAGAGTATAAGCAGTAATCGGGAAGATTAGGGTTTGGAGATGTTATTTAAAGAGTATAATCCAGTGAAATAAATTTGGGATGAGGAAAAAAAGGGACATAAAAAATCCAGAAGATTAGAATTTGGGAGAACACAGAGAGTGGATGCACCTGCGCCATTGCAAATGATTTTGAGCCTTGTCATTTAAGATCTCTAACCATCGGTTGCTATCATCTCGCGGTCCCCAACCAGGTAGTCTACACCTACCAACATGACTTAGTCCACTTGTGAGTGACTTCATGGACTTGTGCCATGTTTTGGTCTGGCCGCCCCCAACTTTCTTCCAACCATCGAATAGGCTCACTGATAAATACGAACGTACATCGACATTAGTCATCGGGTATTGTCTAAGCTACATGAAAAGTTGTAGAAAAACAGGAAGAAAGCTGAGACATTTGAGTTGATAACATAACTTTCTGTTTTAAAAGTGAGGGATAGATCGGAGGAAAACATATTACTTCAAGATTGCTGAATTCAAATCATAATACTTGAAATTAGTCACTGTGGTGTTAATATGCCAATCTGTTCAACCTATAATATATAACAAACGTTCATACCTCATGCAACTATTTATTAGATTGTGAATAATTCACCTCATCTTTTTACCACTTTTATCACTGACAATATCAATATCACGATTATATTTCAAACTTGTCTTATTTAATTCCGAGCTCTTACTTATTGTTATTACTATTATTATTATTATTATTATTATTATTATTATTATTATTATTAGTAGTAGTAGTAGTAGTAGTAGTAGTAGTAGTAGTAGTAGTAGTAGTAGTAGTAGTACCATTAATGGCTTTACTTAATATTATATTTTCGTACAATATAGAATTCCCAGCACAAAATTCTCAAGACAAAACATCTGTTTATACTTTTATTCACCTCATTTTAAGAAATGAATTAGGATGATTAAGTATGAGAAATATTTAAGAATAGCAAAAATACTGAGAAATCGTTGGGTAAATGCTTAAACATTGAATAGGTCATAGTTTCACAATATATTGGTCTTAAAAAAGGGACTTCGACGACAATCTCTACATTATCCTTCAAAGGAAATCTGTTAATATGATTGAGCACCCTTAAGTTGTGCAATTATTTTGTTAATAGAACTCGTTAAATTTAATTTAAAACCTTTATAAGAGTGATGTGTTGGACCAACAGATAAATGTTTGTATGGAGCGAATGAAAGTTTATTCTGAATTAGCATGTTCGAAAAATTAAAGATACTGAACACCATACGAATTATCATAACTAACCTCAGATCAAAAGACGAAACAAGCCAAGCAAATATAATTTCTTCAGGGTTGAAAACTAATAAAATGCTTATCACTAGATGAAAAGTGCAAACCACGTCAAAAAGAATACCGAGTGCTGTAAAATACAAACGAAAATCTACTAAATGTAATGAGTACCTTTAGTCACCAAAATAGAATCCAAACCAAAACATGCACCAGAACGGATCAAACTGCCCATATTTCCAGGATCATTAATTCGGTCAAGTATAAGAGTAACAGGTAAGTGAAACTTCGCATTTTTTTCCTTGAAGCAGTCTTGTTGTGGTAATTCAAAAAGGGCTGAAACAAGAAGAGATAAATACTTTGCATCATAATTTGTAGACAAATTTAAGTTTAAAAACTCCCCAAATGACAGGCAAACAATCTACTGAGAGATTAAAAAGAGAAATCTAATCAATCGAAATTGACAGAAAACTATATTTACACTTACTCGTAGCAGAGAACCATCTAAAATGGTAGAAATTTACGTATCTGGGATTTCGTTTATTTATTCACACCATTAGACCTTGATTCATAACAGTCTGTGCTGATAGCACTGTGGTAGTTGAGATTAAATTAATTTGGGAAAACTTTAGAAATTATGCTAAACTTGGTCACTATTCATCCCACTTTTACGAAACCTATGCTGTCCAGGGTAGTGTTCGACGACGGTTCCATACAATCGTTACTTGCGGAAAATTTCTGAAGTCGAACACGGAATGTTCGGGACTAACGGAACACGTCATTCGACCAATTATGACGCCTTAAAACAGTATCCTTGGTGATTTGGAGATACTTCATGTGCGTTATCTGAGTGGTAATTATACCAAACGTCGTTTCCAACACCGGGAGCGACTGAGAGAAATGGTTAACTTGTGACAATGAACTAAGTAATTGATGTGTGGGCGAGAATGATAAAGATTGGTTGTTTGCTTAGTCAGACTAGTAGATAATCTGACAAGTACTAGACGAGTTATATATTATCTTACCTTTATTATTATTATGATTGTTGACGGATTGTTGTCGGTTTTTAGTGTAGAAATATATTGAAGTTCTAGTCAGGTTAATCACGTATTCTTGGTCTGAGCTGTGTTGAAGTCCTGTAGTATAGACACTGGGAAGAAATCTAGTGTAGATATTCGTGTAAAGCAAATTAACGTCCCATTCGTGTAGATGTGAAAACCTAGCGTTATAAAAGTAATGAGATGACAGTTTTTCTGGCTTAGCACCTTGAAAGTGTTGGAGATCCAGCTTCTAAGAGGTTTGAGATGTTATCAAACATAGATCAAAACAGAAGCTGATGGTAAACTTGCAGCAGAATACTATTCCACTCTTCAAAAAGATTTACCTTTTAACTAGATAGGAATTATCATAGTTATATGTTCATTAAAATTTTATCTTGTACTATTTTTTCATCATTTTCAATGGATGACTTTCTTTTTTTACTTCTACAAGACATCTCATCTTTGTGTTCTCTCGTACCAAACTATTTCAGTATTGTAAATAAATGAGAGGGTTACTTCAATACCAATGAATTGATATTTTTATATAAGCCAGTTGCGGAAACTTGAGTATAATCAACTTGGGGCGGCTTACAAGCTCTAGAACGAAGATCAACTTATCAATAACCAGGGGGTTACGTGAAGGACTTATACCTTTTACGACTCTAAATACTTTTATATTACCTTCAATGTAGCCTTCTAAACAATATGTCATACATTTGAAATAATTGACACTTGATGTTCAAAATGTAAATGTTTGTTCTTTATTGATATCACTGATTGAAAAGGCAGAGTGCCCTGTCAGTGATATAACAGATTCAGATATTTGTGTTCTAAATCAACATTTTATTTGGTTCAGAATTCTATTGACTGATAAAGTGTATCAATAGGATCGTCCTTAGAATAACTATGTGTTCCACATCTAGTAGACAACCACCGAACTTACACAAGTATCATAATAGGTCAACCAAACACGTCAACTTACATTTCCCAGTCACTATTCAATGGTAAAACCATACATAGAAACATAAACCAATGTGGAAGTCCTAAGCACACTGCAACATAAATTCTACACTTTAACAATAAGTGATCTGGTTTACTTTTGTGCAGTCTATTCACGAAATCTCAGAAAAACTGAACAAACTATTCTTTAGAACATGAAATGAGAAATCATAGGACCCATATCAACTAAACATTATGTTAGTCTTCAAAGATATAGATATTTCTCTAGTAGATCTGCATTAAATTCGCAATATGAAAGATAAAAGTGTGATTATACACAAAAAACAAATTTACCTATTACTCCGGGAGGAGATTGAAGTGACGAGATTTTATCCATAACTCGATGATTAACATAGTAGATACTTAATACGTTGCTTAAATCACCGACTTTTTGCAGAGCATCCTGTGAAGAAAAGAACAAAGATGTGGCTTTCGCCCCTGTTGCAAGTGCATCTGATATTAGTTTGCTTCCTTCTAGAATAATTGTAGGATATTTACAAGATTCATTTTTTCCAGAACCATCATGTGATAGTGATACCTTACTTTGAAGTATTACCTCTCTAAAGAGATAAATAAACAATTGTTTTGCTTTTACCTGATTTTCAAATCATTTTCATTTAACTCAGGATAAAAATTTTTCTTTGTATTACAAACCGGCACATTTTCTGCACAATGAGTATTAATGTTAACTTGACGCTTTCTATGTTTTTTGACCTCTAAGGCTTTATTAGAAACTAGTATTTCATCTCCATAAAGAAAGCTATTAGATAGACCCCGGACGCAATATATACTTGAGCGTGAAAACAAATTATAAACGCTTTTCATCAAAGGTTTGCTGTAACTACTTGTAGGTGTAAGAGGTGATCTCACTTTGTGTAAGTCGATATCAATGAAAAAGATGAGATTAACTGCAACAGCCTATAGAACTAAATAAAAACAATGAAATATCTGTTAGCTACCTCACCGACGAAAACGCTTAAAGTATGCAATGAATAGAAGGACATTAGGAACTTTGTATTTAGTTCCAATACTTGCTGTCCGTCCGAGGTTCGCGTAATAAGCGTAATTAGTGGTTAAAGACATTAGATAGTATATTAGTAAACTGGTGACCTTGGCCCAGATATACCTAGTACTTGTCTTCCTAAGGGCTACGAGATTTAATATGATCTTATACTTTTAGGTCCTTGATTTCACTTACCATATACAAAATATGTATTTAGTTGGTTTTACTATCACTGCTGATACCGTTAACTCAAGTTATTAACACATACAAAGACTATTGTTAGCCATGAATTACCATTCATCTTGACGTGCATCCGTACCCAAATAAAATTTAAGAACAGTAAATTTGGTGAGACTAGTTTATGGGCAACCTTTGAGAGACAATAGAGTGACCTTGATAGTGTATACCTACTAACTGGGACTAAATGAGGGTTATAAACTAGTGTGAGGAATTAGAATTATGATTTACAGTTGATGGTTAGGGACTTAATTCAGGGTTTTCATCACGAACTGACGACAGCTAAAATGCCAAAACGATATTTAGCTAAATGGATGACTGAATTTATCTTATATCTGATTAGTTCGTACGTAAATTATAGTCTCACTTAAATTTAATAAGATGTAGTCAGTAACTGATCATTGTCGTTTTGAAGCTTGACACACAACCGAGGGAAAACTAACACGTAAACAAAATTAACAGGAATAGTGGCAATGATACTAACTGTACTAAGGAATCAGAAGAGAAGTTACAACTAGATATGTGGTATACATACATGCAACAAAAGAAAAAAAGTGGATGTACAATGCCGCGACTGGATAGTATTCACTTCATATACCCACAAACCACTAACTGAAAGTCTTAGATACATGATTAATGAAGCCTAGAAATTTTCATACAGCTTATCACTATCTAAAGTCTTATTTATTTATTTATTTTGACACATAGATATTGGTACAAGGAGGCACCAAATACATATGCGCCACACAAATCTCATTCGATATGTGTTAGGGCTGTAATACTGCCCGGGTGCCCAAACCGAAGCACGGAAGCGATTAAAAAAAGAAGTTACCATAAGGTCAGTGTTTATAGTGTAATTTCAGGTATAAATTTGACTAACAGTCCTTACAATTACTCTCAGGTTACACTGAATGGGGATAGTGAACAGTTAGAAGTATCTTATGGTACATTAACAGTGATTTTATTTAAAGGGATGTAATATTTTCTTCCCATTTTATTAACCCCAGGAATGAAAAGATATACGTAGCACAAGGAAGCACAATAAATTCGTACTAATCATCATGGTACATATGCATAGTAATGGTCTTGCAACGAAATGTATCAACTAGATACGGGAAGACTTCGCCACATTACTGTCAGGTAAAGAAAAACAACTGTTGCTGTTTGCTTAACATCCCTTAAAAGGTCGAAAAACACTGTTTGGTCTGTATAAAAACCACAGGTATGTCAGCTGTATTATCAAGTAATGACATACCCGTCTCATTCTAACATCCCACACAACCATTCGCTTAAAATGAACATGTAAATAACTAAATATGTACAACGAGTTCATGCATTTTGTTAATGAATTATATGCAGGTTTATAAAAGTTATTCATTAAGCTTTTACCCACCCTACTACGTGTGTAGTAGGTCTCGTACGATGAATGAACCAACGACTCAGTAAGCACGTAGAATATCCTTACAACCAATAGTGAGAGCAGTGAATAACAATTTGCGATAATGAAACATGAAGAAACTCTGGCGATCGAAAAAAGAAGTTGCGAATGCGCTACGGCTGGTGTAGAGTTCATGCCTAGCAGGGAGATACTTTATATACTAAGGTAGCATATGCTACTGTACATGCAGTAGTATAAGACGGAATAGTAAAGAGAACAAAAGAAAAGGTGACTCGACGACCCAAAAACCGCACATGAAGCACTAACATTTAATAATGAAACCAGTTGACAACAATCAGAACTAACACAAACCTCAAATTAAGAAAATCTCGTGACGGGAACCCAGGTGTTAATAAGAGCGCGTCGACCTTGAACAATTCCTGAGACCTCTATCTTAAGATTTAGATGGTGGTTGGAGGTAGTCAACAGGAAACCCTGGACCCGGGTTTCGTGCTACTTGGCACTCGTCAGCAAGGTGTACCTGTAATCTTGAGGGAACTGGTGCTCCCTGGCGGATTCGATCTCGTGTCACCCAGCTTCACAGTCAGAGACGTTCCCACTGAGCTATCCGAGCCGTGACTAACCTCCTGTAGGACTGAGATGTAATCACAATTGATTGATCACTGGGTGGTGATCAATCTCATGCTTGTCTAGTCCTTATAAGTGCAGATCGAATGCTATCGATCATGTTGCAATGTGGCCACCAGTCTAGGTGACTCAACACTGCGGGCACTATGTATTGAGATTTAGATGGTGGTTGGAGGTAGTCAACAGGAAACCCTGGACCCGGGTTTCGTGCTACTTGGCACTCGTCAGCAAGGTGTACCTGTAATCTTGAGGGAACTGGTGCTCCCTGGCGGATTCGATCTCGTGTCACCCAGCTTCACAGTCAGAGACGTTACCACTGAGCTATCCGAGCCGTGACTAACCTCCTGTAGGACTGAGATGTAATCACAATTGATTGATCACTGGGTGGTGATCAATCTCATGCTTGTCTAGTCCTTATAAGTGCAGATCGAATGCTATCGATCATGTTGCAATGTGGCCACCAGTCTAGGTGACTCAACACTGCGGGCACTATGTATTGAGATTTAGATGGTGGTTGGAGGTAGTCAACAGGAAACCCTGGACCCGGGTTTCGTGCTACTTGGCACTCGTCAGCAAGGTGTACCTGTAATCTTGAGGGAACTGGTGCTCCCTGGCGGATTCGATCTCGTGTCACCCAGCTTCACAGTCAGAGACGTTACCACTGAGCTATCCGAGCCGTGACTAACCTCCTGTAGGACTGAGATGTAATCACAATTGATTGATCACTGGGTGGTGATCAATCTCATGCTTGTCTAGTCCTTATAAGTGCAGATCGAATGCTATCGATCATGTTGCAATGTGGCCACCAGTCTAGGTGACTCAACACTGCGGGCACTATGTATTGAGATTTAGATGGTGGTTGGAGGTAGTCAACAGGAAACCCTGGACCCGGGTTTCGTGCTACTTGGCACTCGTCAGCAAGGTGTACCTGTAATCTTGAGGGAACTGGTGCTCCCTGGCGGATTCGATCTCGTGTCACCCAGCTTCACAGTCAGAGACGTTACCACTGAGCTATCCGAGCCGTGACTAACCTCCTGTAGGACTGAGATGTAATCACAATTGATTGATCACTGGGTGGTGATCAATCTCATGCTTGTCTAGTCCTTATAAGTGCAGATCGAATGCTATCGATCATGTTGCAATGTGGCCACCAGTCTAGGTGACTCAACACTGCGGGCACTATGTATTGAGATTTAGATGGTGGTTGGAGGTAGTCAACAGGAAACCCTGGACCCGGGTTTCGTGCTACTTGGCACTCGTCAGCAAGGTGTACCTGTAATCTTGAGGGAACTGGTGCTCCCTGGCGGATTCGATCTCGTGTCACCCAGCTTCACAGTCAGAGACGTTACCACTGAGCTATCCGAGCCGTGACTAACCTCCTGTAGGACTGAGATGTAATCACAATTGATTGATCACTGGGTGGTGATCAATCTCATGCTTGTCTAGTCCTTATAAGTGCAGATCGAATGCTATCGATCATGTTGCAATGTGGCCACCAGTCTAGGTGACTCAACACTGCGGGCACTATGTATTGAGATTTAGATGGTGGTTGGAGGTAGTCAACAGGAAACCCTGGACCCGGGTTTCGTGCTACTTGGCACTCGTCAGCAAGGTGTACCTGTAATCTTGAGGGAACTGGTGCTCCCTGGCGGATTCGATCTCGTGTCACCCAGCTTCACAGTCAGAGACGTTACCACTGAGCTATCCGAGCCGTGACTAACCTCCTGTAGGACTGAGATGTAATCACAATTGATTGATCACTGGGTGGTGATCAATCTCATGCTTGTCTAGTCCTTATAAGTGCAGATCGAATGCTATCGATCATGTTGCAATGTGGCCACCAGTCTAGGTGACTCAACACTGCGGGCACTATGTATTGAGATTTAGATGGTGGTTGGAGGTAGTCAACAGGAAACCCTGGACCCGGGTTTCGTGCTACTTGGCACTCGTCAGCAAGGTGTACCTGTAATCTTGAGGGAACTGGTGCTCCCTGGCGGATTCGATCTCGTGTCACCCAGCTTCACAGTCAGAGACGTTACCACTGAGCTATCCGAGCCGTGACTAACCTCCTGTAGGACTGAGATGTAATCACAATTGATTGATCACTGGGTGGTGATCAATCTCATGCTTGTCTAGTCCTTATAAGTGCAGATCGAATGCTATCGATCATGTTGCAATGTGGCCACCAGTCTAGGTGACTCAACACTGCGGGCACTATGTATTGAGATTTAGATGGTGGTTGGAGGTAGTCAACAGGAAACCCTGGACCCGGGTTTCGTGCTACTTGGCACTCGTCAGCAAGGTGTACCTGTAATCTTGAGGGAACTGGTGCTCCCTGGCGGATTCGATCTCGTGTCACCCAGCTTCACAGTCAGAGACGTTACCACTGAGCTATCCGAGCCGTGACTAACCTCCTGTAGGACTGAGATGTAATCACAATTGATTGATCACTGGGTGGTGATCAATCTCATGCTTGTCTAGTCCTTATAAGTGCAGATCGAATGCTATCGATCATGTTGCAATGTGGCCACCAGTCTAGGTGACTCAACACTGCGGGCACTATGTATTGAGATTTAGATGGTGGTTGGAGGTAGTCAACAGGAAACCCTGGACCCGGGTTTCGTGCTACTTGGCACTCGTCAGCAAGGTGTACCTGTAATCTTGAGGGAACTGGTGCTCCCTGGCGGATTCGATCTCGTGTCACCCAGCTTCACAGTCAGAGACGTTACCACTGAGCTATCCGAGCCGTGACTAACCTCCTGTAGGACTGAGATGTAATCACAATTGATTGATCACTGGGTGGTGATCAATCTCATGCTTGTCTAGTCCTTATAAGTGCAGATCGAATGCTATCGATCATGTTGCAATGTGGCCACCAGTCTAGGTGACTCAACACTGCGGGCACTATGTATTGAGATTTAGATGGTGGTTGGAGGTAGTCAACAGGAAACCCTGGACCCGGGTTTCGTGCTACTTGGCACTCGTCAGCAAGGTGTACCTGTAATCTTGAGGGAACTGGTGCTCCCTGGCGGATTCGATCTCGTGTCACCCAGCTTCACAGTCAGAGACGTTACCACTGAGCTATCCGAGCCGTGACTAACCTCCTGTAGGACTGAGATGTAATCACAATTGATTGATCACTGGGTGGTGATCAATCTCATGCTTGTCTAGTCCTTATAAGTGCAGATCGAATGCTATCGATCATGTTGCAATGTGGCCACCAGTCTAGGTGACTCAACACTGCGGGCACTATGTATTGAGATTTAGATGGTGGTTGGAGGTAGTCAACAGGAAACCCTGGACCCGGGTTTCGTGCTACTTGGCACTCGTCAGCAAGGTGTACCTGTAATCTTGAGGGAACTGGTGCTCCCTGGCGGATTCGATCTCGTGTCACCCAGCTTCACAGTCAGAGACGTTACCACTGAGCTATCCGAGCCGTGACTAACCTCCTGTAGGACTGAGATGTAATCACAATTGATTGATCACTGGGTGGTGATCAATCTCATGCTTGTCTAGTCCTTATAAGTGCAGATCGAATGCTATCGATCATGTTGCAATGTGGCCACCAGTCTAGGTGACTCAACACTGCGGGCACTATGTATTGAGATTTAGATGGTGGTTGGAGGTAGTCAACAGGAAACCCTGGACCCGGGTTTCGTGCTACTTGGCACTCGTCAGCAAGGTGTACCTGTAATCTTGAGGGAACTGGTGCTCCCTGGCGGATTCGATCTCGTGTCACCCAGCTTCACAGTCAGAGACGTTACCACTGAGCTATCCGAGCCGTGACTAACCTCCTGTAGGACTGAGATGTAATCACAATTGATTGATCACTGGGTGGTGATCAATCTCATGCTTGTCTAGTCCTTATAAGTGCAGATCGAATGCTATCGATCATGTTGCAATGTGGCCACCAGTCTAGGTGACTCAACACTGCGGGCACTATGTATTGAGATTTAGATGGTGGTTGGAGGTAGTCAACAGGAAACCCTGGACCCGGGTTTCGTGCTACTTGGCACTCGTCAGCAAGGTGTACCTGTAATCTTGAGGGAACTGGTGCTCCCTGGCGGATTCGATCTCGTGTCACCCAGCTTCACAGTCAGAGACGTTACCACTGAGCTATCCGAGCCGTGACTAACCTCCTGTAGGACTGAGATGTAATCACAATTGATTGATCACTGGGTGGTGATCAATCTCATGCTTGTCTAGTCCTTATAAGTGCAGATCGAATGCTATCGATCATGTTGCAATGTGGCCACCAGTCTAGGTGACTCAACACTGCGGGCACTATGTATTGAGATTTAGATGGTGGTTGGAGGTAGTCAACAGGAAACCCTGGACCCGGGTTTCGTGCTACTTGGCACTCGTCAGCAAGGTGTACCTGTAATCTTGAGGGAACTGGTGCTCCCTGGCGGATTCGATCTCGTGTCACCCAGCTTCACAGTCAGAGACGTTACCACTGAGCTATCCGAGCCGTGACTAACCTCCTGTAGGACTGAGATGTAATCACAATTGATTGATCACTGGGTGGTGATCAATCTCATGCTTGTCTAGTCCTTATAAGTGCAGATCGAATGCTATCGATCATGTTGCAATGTGGCCACCAGTCTAGGTGACTCAACACTGCGGGCACTATGTATTGAGATTTAGATGGTGGTTGGAGGTAGTCAACAGGAAACCCTGGACCCGGGTTTCGTGCTACTTGGCACTCGTCAGCAAGGTGTACCTGTAATCTTGAGGGAAC